GATCTGTGCAAGAACTCAGCTAACAGATGTTTCCGCATATAAAAGCTATCTTCAAGTTATATTGTACGAAATTATGTATTTAGTCGCATATCTTGGTCGTTTTCATGTGGCATGATACTGGATTTTGAATAATATTTTTATTTTCGTTTCTTAACGTAGAAATTTAATTCACTATCGATGTTTCTACGACTTTGAGTTTCTAAGTAGAGAAATTAAAACAACGGTTTATTACAAATCAGAAATGTCACTCTCAAGATGCAATCAACGATTTAAAACAACATTTTTTGTTGTTTTATACCGTACGTTCCCAGGCTCTCAAATGCTATCCAAAAATACTTAGTTAAAAACTACCACATGGATTTAGATGTGAAAATTTCTCTCATACCAACAAGAAAAATTCGGTCATCTTGTATTGTACAAATTTATTGAGAAGGGCACTTTAGGTTTCTTGTATCAAATTACATGTAAAGACTGAAAACTTGTCGATAAATGTATACAAGATTAAAAGAACATTGAAAAGCCCCTTTCCTAGTGTTTGAGCACATGGCAAAAATATACATTTTTTTGTGTTTTTTCGGATGCTAAAATCATAAGCACAGAAAATGATATAATTAAAATAAAAATGAAAGCTCCCCTTATTAAAAAAACCTAGCATTAACCAGTACTCAGTGGTAAATATATATCTATTTTGATTTTCTATATTTAACAGTTGTGTTTGATATTTTATTACTTTGATACAGGAACACGTAATGGTTTCGTATCATTATTATATCTACCTGACGATGCAAGCTAATCCTAACGAAACAATGTGTTTTTAAAAACATATCACTTGTTTTATCCGTAAACACAACTTTAATTCACTCTTGAAGGGTAGTTAATCTAGGTCGAACTGTCTTTGTTTTTGTTTGAAAGGTTTCTGAAAACGTGTTGAATAATGTAACTTAGATAAATCATCTTTTCAATGGCTAAAATACCAAAAGAAGAAAACTAGCACGAGGAAGACAAAACTCTAGATGTTAAAAATAATAATAATGAAAAGACTAGAGACAAAAAGGACGTAAAATGACAAAATTACGATATATCAACATATAATTAATCATTACTGATTCCCTTTCATCCCTAGATATTACACAAGGGATTTTATTAGAAAACATGTTACAGGGTTTTAATACTTACATTCGTCCTTGTCCTTGGCTGTTACTGTTATCACTGTATGTTGGATGTCTTCGTCCTCGTTCACCTCAGCCTCATACAAGGCCTGGTCGAAGTAAGGCGGATTATCGTTTTTGTCGCCGATCCCAATTCTTATGTACTTGGTAACTGTACATAATAAAAAGAAACAAGAAACCGCCATGTAAAATCATAAAAGTGATGAATAACTCCTGATGAGAAATAATTAATATTTAGGTCATTTCAGATTATCAAATATGCACTTAAAATATAACTCACTTCCTTGAATATACAGCCGAAACAAAATATTACGTCTCCAAATTAAACTTACTTATTTCAATATAAGAAGTGATACAGATTTCTTAGCTATTCCACTAATTAGCCACTCAAAATATTAACTATTCAGTAACTTTTTACGAACAATCTGCACATAAAAAGATAAATGCAACCTCTCTCTGTAAGTGTATATATATATATATTTATAGAGAGAGAAAGGCGAGTAAAACAATATTTTGATCAGAAAAGTACAAGTTAAAAATAATCACAGCATAATCACTGTGTGCATAGAAAACAGTATAATGTAAGGAAATACTGGACTTTCATTTGCAAATGTGACTGGAATTTGACTGTTACTATCTTGACCAATCGAAGTGGCGAGAAACTTATAAAAAACTAACAAATCCGAAGGCCTATGGCCCACATTTTCAGGGCTACTATATTGCAGATTTAATGCTTGAACTACTATTTTGCACCTTTTCAGTTTAATGATCATTGTCACTATAATGCAAATATAATTTCTTTAACCAAGTCACAACGATAGTTATTAAGCCTACTTATTTAGGTGCTTTAATGTAAGTCAATGTAAATCCTCGTAAAAGTGTCTTCGCAAAATACTCGGGTTACCTAAGAGGTTTGGTGAAAAGTTTTACCTTTGGGCAAGCCACAGACCAGAGAAGATTCATTCGTTTGGCACCATTTAGAAGTTGGTGAGTCTAGCAGTTTAGGAGAAAGTGTTTTCGTGAAATCCCCGGATTCCCCAAGGGGTGGGGTGAAACGTTTTATCCTTGTGCAAACCTCAGGACCGAGACGATTCGTTTGGTACCACTTAGAAGTCGGTATGATCAACGGCTTAGGAGGATTACGTGACACACACAGAGACACTGAATCTTATTGTATATAAAAAATATATCGTGCTCATTTTCAGGTTTTGTTCAGTTACTCAGTTTACTATGTGGTTTGTTCAATGAGGTGAGTAGCGTCAGTTCAGAATGTGTCATTCCACTTAATTTTACGAGTTGTAACCTTTAAGATATTTTAATTTCATAGATACAGTTTTGGCCAAAATGTTTTCAAATTTTGTACAAAATGAGATCATTGTTATTAAGACGGAACATAAATACACTTAGCGCTGTCAAACTGAAAAATGTATGTTATATTAGACATTTTCATATGTAATTTGTATAATGAGACAGGTTTCATGGACATGAGGTCCTCCTCGTTCTCTAATAACCTCTGCAAGGCAACGTGGCATGCTGTCGATGAGGTTATTGATGTAATCCATCGTGATTTTATCCCAACTTGTCAATAGAAGGCGCTGCAACTCAGCTACAGTAGCTGGTTTAAAGTCGTGGTTAGCAATTTTCTGGCTCAGTTCTGCCCAACTATTCTCAATGGGATTACAATCTGCAGACTTTGCTGGGCATGGCAATCTTGTAACATCCTCCTGGTCGAGATAATTCTGTACAATACGTGCACTGTGGGCAGTGGCATCGTCATCCTGGAGCACAAGGTATTGCCAAACCTTGCCCTAGCATATAGTAGAAATATCGTCTCTATGTGATGCTTGTAGGAGGTGACGTTTCTCTGGAGGATATGATGACATTTTTTTTCAACCATGATGATTAGCTGCCCAAACATGTACAGCACCATCTCCTGTGTGTTCCTTGTGAGAAAGACAGTCTTCTCTCATCTGTTTTCCAGGAAAAAAAACGAACATGAATCCTACCATCGGCTTTAACAAGCCGAAAACAGGATTCATTTGAAAATATGACATGTCGCCAGTGTTCTAACTGTAAGTTGGCATGATGTCTTGCCCAAGTAACACGGTGATGGCGGTGAATTCTGGTTAATATCAGTTTGAAGATAATTGCACAATAACCTTGGTTGATCAGTCTCCCATTTACTGTTCTTCTTGATAACCTGGAATGAATGTGTTCATGCCATTACTGTCGTAAGAGGTTGCAAGACTTCTTTCAAACTTCACATGTTAACCTGATAAAATCGCGGTAATCCGGGGAAGTAGATTTTCGGCGTCTACCAGCAGACTTTCTTGGAACAACGTTTCCTGTAGTCCGATGACGTTTCAGGATACTTTAAAGATACAGCACACTGGGTGTACCCTACTGTTCTGGTGTTCATACCAATTCTGAACAGTCGAACAATTTGACGCCCTATAACTTTTGGCACGTGAAGAGGCATGACTCTACGCCAATTACAGAAAAATTGTCTGAACAAAGCGTTGATGTGTTTCGAAAAAGGTTATACCAAAAACACACTCTTTTATACAAAACAAGTGCACATGTGTGTTTTGACGAACAAATGCTCAGAACAACATATAGAGTTCAGAATAACAACTCGTTCATGTTTGCCCGATTAGATGCTACCTTCTCTGTTACAACTCAGGCTTTACTCAATAACTACTGCATGCATGTAGACAATAACATTAGTATAGAATAGTATGCAAACATTTCGGCCAAGACTGTATAAATGTATTCGTTTGTGAAAGGAAGGTGATGTTCTTATATTAGCTCCAATCATATATGAGCTTACATTTTTAATAGCCCTAGGCATAGTGTAACTTCTCCTGGCATGTCATTTTTACTTCTTTTTCAAAAGAAAGATAAGTTAAACGTAACGTTTAAAAATCATACGAAAATAAAAGGATAAAATAGACATTTGAAATTTGATAAGGAATAATAAATATCGTTGCTTTTTACTGTCGTCCAACTTCCCGCAATGATACTTCAGATTGTAGAAGAAGTGTAATAAGGTATGGTCTATCTTGTGTTATTCTAACTTGAGAATGGAAAATTTACTGTACAACGCAATAAATTCTAGCATCATTAATGACGTAATAACTATTTCATCACCACCAGATATGGCGTAACAATGCAATTTACATTGTAAGCTTTCACAATTTTGGAGAACAAATTAATAAAATGTTGTAATAATTAAGTGTATAGTGATGAACACACATTTTCAATATACCCCCATAACGGTCTAGGTAATATGCCTTTATAAAGTTTAAAATTATAAGTCTAAAAAAACACAGATATGCATTGTTTACGTGACGGATGGATCGATTAATAGAAATAATTAAACATAATAACGGGGAAATGAAATGTTCGCTTAAATGTAGCATTATCGCAAGTAAAATTGCTGCTAAATTTAGATTTCTTAGGGACACATAGACTGAACAGAATAAATAATAATCTATACATAAAAACAGCAGATATATATATATATATATAGATTAACGCTAGTAATTAAACTGAATGACAAGGATTTGAGATGTTTAAATGTAACATGAACACACAAAACATTACTAATATATAATAACTTTTCATACTGAACATTATCCTCCATTAACAATCTAATGTGTTCTGGATGTTGGAATATTAATAACTGCGACATATACAACCATCCCATTAAAATAAGCTTACTGTTACATGCTATGAACAGTACTTTCGTGACATACGTACGGTATAAATCGAATTGATAATTATATAATCGTAGGAGAAAATTTTTATTCTTTCAGCTGATCGTACTTTAAGTAACAAGTTCATAGAGATTGTGCCTTAGCTACAGGTGAAAGGTTTTGATCTGTATTTATTAAAGGAGTGTGTTTATGTTAGTTGTAGTCATAATAGTTCTTATCACTTCCATATTGTTCAGTGACACTTCCATGATGTAAAGTGAAGTAAGTGCCCTTGCAAATATAAGTAGACCTTTACCACTCACACGCTCACAGAGCACTAAACAAGTTACTTCCAGAGTAGTGAGGCTTGGTGGATAGGGCGGTTGACTCGCAATCTGCATGTTGCGAGTTCGAATCCCAGTCACCAAACATGCTCGCCATTTCAGCTGTGGGGACGTTATAATGTAACCATCAACCTCACTATTCGTTGGTAACAGAGTAGTCAAGGAATTGGCGGAGTGTGGTGTTGACTAGCTGCCTTCCCTCTAGTCTATCACTGCTAAATTAGGGACGGATAGCGCAGAGAGCCTTCGTGTAGCTTTGCGCGAAATTCAAAACAACCGATCCAAAGCAGTGAGATAAACAAATTCCAATTAGAGATCTCGTAAAATATTGATTGCCCAAAACATTCGTCTTAGCGAAAAAGTAGAGAAAAGTATATAGAACAAAATTCCAATTTTAGCGTTTCCATTCTTAATGGTATACTTTATCAAATTTGTAATAGAACGAAATATGCTATTAATCTGTATATCGCGGCTGTCATCTAGCCAACAGAAGAGTCGGTATAACGAAGTGCAATGTGAGCAGTAGACCACCTTACTGTAGTAGTACGGGGCGTAGTGAGTCGTGGAGGTAGCTGTCCATAGTAACTAAGATAGTAGAGAAAAGGTGATAGGTAGCTTATATTCATAGTTTAATAGCAGCGTTACTCGGCGTTGCCCGGGTTTTCGAAAAACTACTCTCCCTGTTTCCACATATTCGATAGGTAAAATATATTTTGTGAATTTATGAAAAAACAACAACAACCTTATTTTTGGTTTTTGAAAATAAACCACCTATTCGTTTTAAACCAGGGCTTCTTGATGAACGATGTTTTTCCTTCACTGACAAGTATAAATATGGAGAATATTTAGATTATCTTATACACATATGAGTACCCGTTCTGGCGAACAGGATAAGCCTAGCTCTATTCCCCCCCCATCTCCCCTCAAATATTAAAATTTCAAACGTAAATATATATGTAATATTATGTTGAATTTGCATTAATGTAAATTTAATATATTTTTATGAATGTGATACCGTATTCACATTATTAGTATATGAAATATACTATAAACAAAATGCAATATTGTACTTTATAATGTATCAAAAGAAAAAATCTACTTTCAGGTATTGAACCACTAGAGAAAAAAAAAGTTGAATAAAAT